AGCAAGATCCAGCATGCTCGTGCCCAGGAGTGCTTTCCATCGGGCATGCATGGGGCCTCCCTCCAGCACAACTGCGTATATTGGCCCTGATCCCAAGGCCCCGCACAAACACACACAGAAGCTTGTTCCGTGGTCTCCCTGGCCCACTGCCCAGCCTGGCTTGCTTCTGTGAGTCAACACACCACTATTTTGTTTTCGACTCAGGGAGAGGTGACGAATTGGGATGTGGGTTTGTTGGTTTGCTGAAGTGACCCAAATTGGGAGTTTCTGCTGGGGAGATGACGAGAGAGAGGCTGCCGCAGTCATTTTCACACCATTTCAAGTTGCGTTCACCAAGCTTTTCCAGACAAAGGCATGAATTAGGGGCATAGGCAGCCTTATCTCTCTCTCTCTCTCTCTCTCAGCCTTATCAGAGAGAGAGAGAGAGAGAGAGAGAGAGAGAGAGAGAGAGAGAGAGATTGATTGATTCACTCCTTCTCATTCCTAATAACCATGTTTCTGCTGTTTGGAAACAAGGGGGTCCCACCAGACATCATGCAAGTTGACTTCTGCTAGTGCAATGGGACCTCTGCTTACCCTCCTGCGTCCTTGTAGCCCCAGAAAGTCTTGTTCCTATCTGCACTGGAGGGTCCCTTGATCCTCCAGATGTGGCAAGCACATGGCGAACTGCTGAGGGAAGGGGCAAATCTGTTCCAACAGAGGGGTTGTGTTGCACTGCAGTGGATGGACACAACTGAATACCACCAAATGGAGCTGATTTACCTTCATATGTACTGGCATGTCCCTTCGATTTCATTTACCTTTATATACAATTGGAAATCCATCCTTACAGTAGGGAATATCATCTAAAAGATACTAGAACTTCCTAACAGCCCTCTTAATCTGCTCAGGATTGAACATTATTGGCACAATCATCTTATTCATTCAATGATTTTGTACTTTTGCCTGAAGCAAAACTGATTTACCAATGCCTATTTCATTTGGTGCATTTCCTCATCAATTTTGCACATTTCCTCATCAATTTGAATATATTTTAGTGCATTACTCTGTGGACAGCCCCCCTCCCCCCATTTTTTACTTAGCAAAGTGCATAGTTCTTGTCCTGATCTTTTTTTAAACTGACATTTTGGTTCAGATGCAACTAAATGGGAGCAGGAGCGGAGATAACTCTTATGCTATGACTCTAATAATAAGCAGCAGGGGCAGGCAAATATCCTTTTGACAGAGAAGAGGTCCTCCATTTACTGGGTTTCTGAAGAATGTCCTCGGCACCATTGCTGATGAGCAAGATAAGCCTTGCAGTCCCTGCACACGGGCTCTTGCCAGACTGACACACTTGGCCCAGGGCTACCGTCCTAGAAAAAATGGTCGGGCCAAAACAGAATATCCAGTTTCTTGGGTGCTGTGCACGAAGATGACAGCTCCACATCAGAGAGTGCTTTCTGCAGCAAGTGAGAAGTATCCATTGTGTGCAGTTGTCAGTTCTGGGCCGGTGCCACTGAAAAGCGCCAGGAACATTCTGGCTTGATTTAATATGCAGACTGTGTGTTTACATCAGTGCTCAAATGTGCAACCTTGCACATTTCTTTTTGAAAGCCCTACAATTCTTTCACTCGGAGAAAAACAGGCTCAGCACTCTTGGCCTCCCAGAGCCTCTCCCACATTATCCATTGCTCAAGTATTTCCTTCACACAGCCTAGCTAGCATCCAGCAACCTTGCCGAGGAGTGCCACCCTCTGTTGTACCAAGGATTACTGTCAAATGCGGCAGGGCAGCTGCCAAAAGATGAGGAGGAAAAGGATCCACTTACAAATCAACATTCTGGACAAGGATTCCTAGAGGATTTCTGGGGCTTGCATGCAAGCTAATACTGCAGAGAATGCAACACAGTAAACTTTCGAAAAAAATCATAAATATAGGAGTCATGGTTTTCTTTTCTCACTAGTATTTGAGCTTTCACGGCTGTTTTTATACATTTTATCATGTTTTTGTTTTTTGGTTTTTTACTGTTTGTTGTTGTATTGCATCTTTTAGCCTTATGCAATCCATCCAGCAAAATTCTGTTATTGGGCAAATTAAGAAGATACTAAATAAATAGTAATTGATAGAATACAAATGCTTAAAGGAAATGGTAAGAGTAATACATGGCCCCTTAAATATCAAATTCACCAGACATCTAAGGTGATGAAGAACAGAAGTTTTTGAATGTGCACAAGAAAGAATTGAGGGCAGGCACCCAGTAGCCCTTCAGATACGGCTAGGCTCCAAATTTTGTCTCCTAACCCACATAGTCAGTTATGAGGGCTGACTGGAGTTGTAGCCCAAGCACAGGTTCCCCATCCCTGCAATAGGCAATGCCCACATTCCCTGAGTTTATTCTCAAGGGAGCTCTCCATGTTGGCCATTTGGTACCACTCAGTGCTATGGATGGACAGCCGGTCTCAGACTGGCAAGACCCACACTCTGATTATACAAAACTTGCACAATAACACTCACTGCCTCTTCTGCCTAACCTGCCTCACATGGATAAAGGTGAAGATAAAATGTGAGGGTAGTCATGCATGAACTCGTTAGAGGATGTGGAGCATTAAGTACAGGAAATAAATACTGACCCAGAAGTCTAAATAGCAATGACTGAAAATACCATATTTCAGAACGTTCTTGGGCCCACAACCACTGTGAAGATACAGTTGCATGGACATCTTTTTTCATGTGCATGGGACTTAAGACTACTCTGGTAGGCTCTTCTTGGAGGACCAGTCATCACTGCTGTCTGCAGGTTGAACTCTGAACTATTTGGCAAGGAAAACCTCCAAAGTAACCTGGCCACAGCTGCCAACAAAGCTAGTGCAGCTTTCCGGAGCTGTTGGACTACTACCACTTATGGAATCCTGCATCCAGCTGGGCCTAGTGAATGCAAAGAATCCTTTCCTCTGCTGTCAGAAACCTCAATGAAACATCCATTATAAATAATAGGCAGTACATGCCATCACCTTTCCCACTGCCATGTGCAAGAAAACACAAACCTTTTTTTTCACTTACCATCTACATTCACAAGGAAAATCAACAACACCATACTGAAAAACCAGACTCTGGCTTAGGGGAGTTTTGTAAACTCAGCTCTTTTCCAGAAAGTCCTTACTTCTCTGGTGTTGTCAATCAAACACAGGAATATTATCTGTCACATCCATTTTGACAGCAGCTGTACTGGATGTGAAAGCAAACATGCTAAGCTCTGGGGTGTGATACTTCAGAGCGGCTTTATTTTTCTGTTACGGCTGTACCTCATGCTAGAAGGAGCAGAGCTCATGTTAGAGAGTCCTTAGAATGGATGTACGAAGCTGCCTTAAACCAACCAACCCTTGGGTCATCTTGCTCAGGATTGTCTACATCTTTTGGGAGCCACTTTTCCATCATTCCCAGCCCCACTTGGAAATGACAGGGATCAGACCTGGGGGATCTTCTGCATGCAAAATACATGCCCCCAAACTGAGTTCCTGCCCTCCCAGCAAACATCTTCTTTCAGTACCCTCCACTAAGTGGGTTTCTTTTAATGAAGCAGGACCATAGAAAGCATATTTTGAGAAATCTATTGAGTTACGCTGGAGCAGTCTGGCATTCTGTTCACATGGTGACCAACCAAGCTACCCATTGGGTGTGAGACAGACTATGGGACCATCTGGCTCAGTATTGCCTTAGTTGATCAGTAGCACCTCCAAGCCTTCAGACTGGGTTTCTCCCAGTCCTTCCTGGAGATCTTAGACTCATAGAACGGTTGAGTTAGAAAGTCATTGAGTCCAACACCCTCCTCAGTACAGAACTGCAAGCTAAAGCATGCCTCCCAGATGGCTGTCCAACTGCCTCCTGAATGCCTGCAGTGTGGAAGAGACCACAACCTCCCTAGATCATTGGCTCCATTGTGGTACCTGGTTTAACAGTCAGGAAGTTCTTCCTGATGTCCAGCTGGAATCTGTCCTCCTGTAACTTAAACCCATTATTCCATGTCCTGCGCCCTGAGAAGAGATCCTGGCCCTCCTCTGTGTGGCAGCCTTTCAAGTGCCATCATATGCCAAGGAGTGAATCCGGGTCCTTCTGCATACAAGTCAATGAGTCTTTCTTTCGTCCCCACTTTTGCCAAAGAAAGATCCAACCTCCACCGCCAACAGCTGCATGACCATCTGGGATAATAAGGCTCACTGCTTCTCTGAACCGCAGCTCCACCACCGCTCCCAGACCCATTTACTTTCCTGTGTCCGCTGTGCTGCTCTGCAGAATGGTCTTTGCATGATGCCACAAATCCCAAGCCATTTGTCCTGATTAAGCAGGGCTGGGTGAGGTGCAAATAGAAGGCATATGTTTTACACTTCCTCCAACTCAGACGGGAGCTAGTGGAACGGATGGCTGACTCCACGGCAGTATTGCTGAAGCCAAGCGGTGAGGCATGAAAGACAAGTGGGCACAGCTCGCACACTTGTAAAGTGGAGGACCGCCACGTGTGAACACGGGCCCTTTCTGAATCAGTGTGCCCTCTTCTTCCATTGTTTTCAGGTACAGGCAGGCTAGTCTTTGACAGCCACAAGATCTCAGCTACAGTCCTATACACTCAGTTTCCTGATGCAGTGCTATCCGATTTTTGCACTGCAAGCTCCCCTCGGCCCAGCCGGGGCACCAGTAATGCCGTCTGCGGATGAGGAGGGCTGCAGTCCTTCACAGCTGCAAAGCACCAGGCTGGGGAAGGCCGGTCTGTAGAAGACAGGGGACCCCACTAAGTTGTCCACGCCTGCTTTGTGCCACAAGCTTCTAGGGTAAAGATGGGGGGCAGAGTGGCCCTTCCGATCGAGTTGGACTGCAGCACCCATCAGCCCCAGCCAACATGGCGCAGGAAGGCTGCTATGAACACTTGCTTGGGAATAAGCAACCCCAGCCTCCGTGGGACCCCGCTTCAAGTAAACACGTTTAGGACCACACTGCTAGACAGAAAACACTCCGGTCTGCCTTACCATTTTCAGCCCGACGGTTCTCCCCTTTAGCCAGCTCCCGATTTCACATCCAGCACAAGCCACGGGACAGCGTTCCCTCCTTCACACATCACGGGGTGGGACGCGCCCGCCCCGAGTTCCCCCACAACCACTTGGTTGCCTAGAACTTCAGCCATCCCTTAGCTCTGGCGCGTCTCATGCTTTTTTCTCGTCATCGCAACCATCTGGCGCCTCTTTAAGATGCTGCCGTCCCCGCCGCCCGCGCAGAGCGCTCGGACCGTTGGCTTTGCGGGGGGCTGCGCCTCTCGCTCGCCGTTCCAAGGAGCCGCTGGATGCGCTTGAAAGCCGGACGCGGGATCTCTTGCTGACCCTTGCAAGGCCCTGGGGAGCACGTGGCGCCAGGTTTTCCCCCGCGCTCGCTCCTCGACGTGCGCCGCGGAACGCGCGAGCGGGCCAGGTGGCCTCCGCCGCGGGACCAGCTCCTTGGCGGCGGCCAGCAAACTTGCTCGCTGAGCGCGCAAAGCGTGCCAGCCACGGCAGGCTTGTGCGAGGGAGGGCGGCGAGGGGTGGAGGAGGGAGGGCTGATCGCTCCTGGAGGCTCTTTTCACAATAAAAGCCCTCTCGGGTCTCCCTTTCTCCCTCTCTCTCTCTCTCCCAAAACGTTCAGCGCGGCCCGTGCCTGAGTTGCTGCGCTCAAGCCGTTCTGGGGGAAGGCCGGGCGGCGCGCTCCGCGCTTGAGCGACGATTGCGTGCAGGTTAGGAGCGGCTGAGTCGTTTTATTGGGAAGCTGGGCGCGTGGCACAGTGAAGAAGGGGCCTGGAACAGAAAAGCAGGACCGGGGAATGGAACAGGGTGGTACAGTGCGTGGTTAGAGGGTCAGCCCGGGGAAGAGGGAGACCCACCGCAAAATGGACTGAGCAGCTGTGCCAGGGGTGCGTCCTCTCTCCTTCTTCCTCTCTGTGACTGAGTCAAGACAACATAATGATCCCCACTCAAGCACTGAGTGTGGGTCGTTGTCAAAGTGTGAGTCGAACCCAGCTGTGCAAAAAAGCCATGGGCCTGGCTGGGTAACCACGAACAACCCATGAAGAGAACCCACGGGTTATTGCTGGGTTGTGAGTTAGGGTTGCTCACCATGGTGTGGTATCTTGGATGGACTCAGGCATGATAACCCATGTTTTGACAACCCACAGTTAAGCAACAACCAGGGTTCAACCCATGCACAGCTCTTGAGTGAAAGTTATCATGTAAATACAATGAAACAAGGTACTGCTAGGGTTGCTGCAACAGGAGAACCGCAGAAGCAGTGGATGCAAGGAACACGAGGCTGAGTAAGAGGGTGCAACGGCTTGCTCTCTGCCCATGCCAGAGCTCATTGCTGGGTTGTGAGCAGGAGTGAGGCGGCAGTGGTCCTCCAGACATTGTCAGAGTCCCCGTCACATCAGTCCCACCAGCATGGGCAATAGACAGAGGTGACAGAAGCTGTGCTTCAACATCACCTGGAGTGCCACAGGATGTCCACCTAGGCTCTGTGGTGTCTGATTTTCAGTGACCCTTTCTTGGCCACAAAAAATGTACCACTCTCCACCTTTCAGGGAAGAGCCATAGCTCAGTGAAGGAGCACATGCTTTGCATGCAAAAGACTCCGCTGGTCCTATAAAGGGCTGAGGGTTACTCCTGGTACCCTGGAGAGCCACTGCCTGTCCATGTAAACCAACCTTCTCCAACTATGGTTGGATGGGGATGCTGGAAGTTCTAGTCTGGATGGCAGCAGGTTGAGGAAGGCTGGTGTAGACAAAACAGGACTAGATGGATGGGTGATCTAACCCCAGAGAAGGCAGCTTCTTCCCATGTCAGGGGCATTCAAAGGTCATTGCAGGTGAGGATTTCACCCAAATAAGCTGTTCCTTGTTAAAAAGATGGGAAGGAATGATCCTATAATTCCCTAGACATTGCCAGAAAGGTCACAGGATAGTTCAGATTCTCATGCTCACCTCCATAAGATTGCACCCTAAACCACTACCTAGCTGAGTGTTAACCCAGTAGCCCTCTTTTTCTGGAAATTAGATCTTATGCAGAAATGTTGGTATTGCAGAAGAGAAAAGGAAGGCATAATAATGATCTTCAAATATATGAAAGACTATTACGCAGAATATTCTCCACTGTTTCAGACGGCAGGGGTGGAAGTTGCAAGCAAGCAGATTTCAGCTGAATGCTATGAAAAACTTAGACTTTGAGGAAGTTATTCTCTGCTGGAGATATTCAAACAACAGCTGAATGGCTATCAGAAATGCTGAGGCTGTATCCTGCATTGCAGAGTCTGAATCAAGAGATCTGGATCAGCTGATTTTTAAGGTCTCTTCCAACTCTGCTGTCTTCTTTGGAGTCTTATTGCATTGGTTTTAACAAGACGTCTAGCTCCACCTGCACTACTCCTGAAGGGAAAGCCAAAACCGTATGGGGTCAATCAGATGACTTTGCAATTCTGCTATTCCACAGAACTGCCATCTGGCCATATAATGGAAAATGCAGGAAGGCAGAGAGATTAAAACCCCCGGGGTGGAATCATGTAAACCCAGAAGCAGAAGCCTTGGTAAAGTGGCCAGTTAAAGTGGCCTAAAAACCTTAATACAGTGATGCCCTATGTATCATTAAAATTACAACGTTTCTATCCTTTGTCTTTAATTGACATAACTCATGATTTCCAACTTCATACATGCCAGGTATGTTGTAGCAGAGGGAGCTCCACAGTATAAGAAAGTACATATCCCTCCATTTTTGTGATGAGGGGAGACCATCCCCCTAAACTTGGTGGCTGTCATTTTGGTCTTTCTGTGCCTGCAATAGCCATTCTATTTGTCACCCAATTTATTTATCCTCAGAAGAGCTTGCTTTGCACGTGACCATTCCAAAGCCTGCTTCTACTTGTAGCAAATGCTGTCAAATCTGTTCCAGGAAACCTAGAAACTGCTGCCCTGGGCATAGAAATAAAGCACACCATCAAACCCAAATCCTGACGCCAGGGACAGCCAGTCTTGGTATTCTGCAGTGCATTTCTTTTCCTGGCAATGATCCAGGATGCAAAAAGGATATTTGTCCATATAACTGACCTTCTGATGAATACCCTGGTTCTATAATGACACTTCCCAGTAGCCACTGCTTGAGGCATTCCACAGAAAATCCAAAAGGGTGGACATATAAATCTCTTTATATGTCAGAGATCTGAGAAACAATTTTGCGTTTTTTACTGGTGGAAAAGGTTTTGAAAGCCTTGATTGAAAACTTGTCCAGTAAGTCAGATCCAATCTATCGGTAGTCAGTCAGCCATACCTGCTCCCCATATTGGCACCAGTTAATACTGACACATGATGAACATTTCAGTCGAGTGCATATATGCTAAGTTCATAGCAAAGAGGACCCATAGTTCCTTCACTGTTGCCTCAACATTTATCCCATCAATCAAGACTTGTCATGCTACCTTAATTCAGAGCCAGTGTGGTGGTTTGGAATGTGGGTCTGGGATTCAGGTGACCTGGGTTCTAGTCCCTGTTTGGCCATGGAGCCAACTGGGTGACTTAGGGCCAGTCATGGACTTTCAGCCCAAACTACCTTACAGGGTTGTTGTTGTGGGATAAAATTGAGAGTGGGGGGAGGAGAATGATGTAAGCTGCTTTGAGTTCACTGTAAGAAAAAGTAGAATATAAATAAATAAATAATGAGTCTAATAAATAAATAAACCCCCTTTGACAGTTTCATAGTGGACCATTGACCGCTGGAGGTGTCACATTTTGCACTCGTAGCAAACAATCATATACAGGTTTTAATCTAGCGATGCTCTACCCAAATTAAAGCACCACCAGCTTAATCCCAGCCAAATCCTCTTCGCTACATGCCTGAAGGAAGGATAAAATGGATGAAAAGCATTGGCTATCTGAGGTGAAGTCATGGTTTTGCTTTTCTCTTATTTGGCCTGATTCTCATTTCCTCTTTGGAACAGCTTCCATTTATATGCAATTTCCTGTCAAAACATTCCTGTTGGGAGAATCAAACTAGGCCACAACTTGAAAGAGTGAGTGATATGACAGGTGATTTGCGCTGTCTTTCCAGATTCTCTTGCTTCCTGCCAATAGGCATCTCTGACATTTGAAGAATTTGACCTCTAATCATTACAGTGCCCTGTCAAGAGCGAAAGCTTGTGCAAAGTGAAGGCTGGAAGAAGATGCTTCCTTAGGCGGTATGAAGTGTCTGAGGAATTCTCCTTACCAGTGGTGTGGTGGACCCAAAATTCACAGGGACATGGCACTGGAATTTTTGTTATCGAAATTCTCTGTTCCCTCTGCAATCCTTAAAGCAGATTATGGGAAAATTATTATTCCAAGCAAGAAGCTGTTGTTCCCTGTTGTATTTTGCAAAGAATGTGAAGTATTTGGGGGTGGCATGGTCTTAAATGGGCAGTTCAGGCCCACTGGCAGCAAAAAGCCTGAGAACATTTTCCCAGCTGAGGCTTCAAATCCTGCAGCTGCACAACTGTACCTTTTTTTTTTTTAAGTCCATGTTTGTGCAAAATATTTTCCACATTTTTAAAAAAGTTTGGCAATCCCAGGAAGCATCTCCGAGGTGCTGTTTGGGCACTTTGAAGGGGCTGCCTGTAGTGGTCAAAAAAGGAGATTGCAAAAGCTGGCTTAAGAATCTCTTGGAAAAAGAAAGAGTAAAAAATGCCTGAAATTTTATTTATTTATTTATTTATAAAATTTGCGTGCTGTCCAATTACTTGTGTCTCTGGATGGCTTACAGCACAAATGAATTGACAACTCACTCTGGCTGCAAGTTAATAAAAATACAACAGTAAAATTCAATATTAGAACATATTAACATATTGATTAAATAAAAAAGGTCTTAACCTGGCGCCAAAAAACATATAATGACGGTGCCAGGCGGACTTCTCTGGGGAGTGCATTCCATAGTCGGGGCGCCACCATAGAGATGGCCCTCCTCCAGGTACTCTGTCTCCTAATATCTTTCACAGAGGATTCCCGGAGAAGGCACACAGGGAAAAAGGCGTTCCTTTAGGTATCCTGGTCCCAAGCCATTTAGGGCTTTATAGGTAATAACCTATAAATGGCTTTCACTCATAGCAAGGAGTGGGGAAAGAGAATCCCAGCTGCCCCAAAGTGCTATGTCGGCACTCTGGGGACA